CCCTTTCCTGACACCTTACACTAAAATTAACTCCAGATATATTAAAGATCCAAACATAAGACCTAACACTATAAAAACCCTAGAAGAAAACCTAAAACCTAGGCAAAACCATTCAGGACATAGGCATAGACAAGGACTTCATGGCTAAAACACCAAAAGCAATGGCAATAAAAGCCAAAATAGACAAACGGGATCTAATTAAACTCCAGAGTTTCTGTACAGCAAAGGAAACAATCATTAGAGTGAACCAGCAACCAACAGAATGGGAAAAAATTTTTGCAATCTACCCATCTGACAAAGGGCTGATATCTAGAATCTACAAAGAACTAAAACAGATTTATGAGAAAAACAAACAAACAAACCCATTCAAAAGTGGGTGAAGGATAAGAACAAGACACTTTACAAAAGAAGACATCTATGAGGCCAAAAAACATGAAAAAATGCTCATCATCACTGGTCATTAGAGAAATGCAAATCAAAACCACACTGAGATACCATCTCACGCCAGTTAGAATGGCTATCTTTAAAAAATCTGGAGACAACAGATGCTGGAGAGGATGTGGAGAAATAGGAACACTTTTACACTGTTGGTGGGAGTGTAAATTAGTACAACCATTGTAGAACACAGTGTGGCAATTCCTCAAGGACCTAGATCTAGAAATACCATTTGACCCAGCAATCCCATTACTGGGTATATACCCAAAGAATTATAAATTGTTCTATTATAAAGACACATGCACATGTATGTTTATTGCTGCACTGTTTACAATAGCAAAGACATGGAACCAACCCAAATGTCCATCGATAGACTGGATAAAGAAAATGTGGCACATACACACCATGGTATACTACACAGCCATAAAAAATGATGAGTTTGTGTCCTTCATAGGGACATGGATGAATCTGGAAACCATCATTCTCAGCACACTGACACAAGAACAGAAAACCAAACATTGTATTGTTATCACTCATAGGCGGGTGTTGAACAATTAGAACACGTGGACACAGAGAGGGGAGCATCATACACTGTGGTCAGTTTTGGGGGGCTAGGGGATGGACAGTGGGGAGTGGGAGGGTGGGGAGGGATAACATGTGGAGAAATACCAGATATAGATAATGGGGGGATGAAGGCAGGCAGCAAACCACCTCACCATGTATGTATCTATGCAACAATTCTGCATGATCTACACATGTACCCCAGAACCTAAACTACAATAAAATATATATGTGTGTGTTTATATATATATACATGTGTGTGTGTGTATATATATATATATATAAAATGTGTGATGAAAGGGAGAGGGGTGAACTTTAGAGTGTTGTATTACATAGAGGTTTGTTGGTTATCTACTAGCAGTAGTTAAAAGAGTTGAGAATGCAAATGGCTGCCAGTCATTTCTGCATAGCCGATTATATATTTAAAAAAACAGAGGCAGCCTGTCCCTTCACAGTAAAAGTGATGCTTTCAGTAAGTGAGAAATAATTTGCCTTTTGCAGAATAGTCCTGTTGGGAAGAGAGCATTTTGAAAAGGGAAGTTTGGAAATGTTGGTATTATTAGGTTTTCTGCCCCAAAATGATATATATCACATAGGAAAACTCTCAAGTATGTGAGAAACAAATTTTTAGCCCATTTCAAATTTTTCTAAATGAGGAGTTTCAATAGGATTTGTTCCCGTTTACTTAAAATACAAAAAAAATGCAATACCTTCCAATTAGTTTGTAACAACAACTGGCAGACCCGAGAACATGAAGTGTCATAGTGAAATGTGAAGAGAAACCTTCGTGTGGGTGTTGACTGAGGTGGAGGAAGGGGTGTCAGGATGCAGAGACACAGCCAATCACGTGCTTCTTTCACCTGGGTCTTTGCATCACTGAGTGGTGTCTTCTGCAGCTACACAGCCAGTAAAAGCAGTCTCAAAATAACTTAAAACCAGAACGAGGCCTTCACATTGCTGTTACAAATGTTAATGTAGCATAGATAGTTAAATAATGAAATGTATTAATCACATAGCTCTCGCTAAAATGTTCTTAATAAGCTTCATATTCAAAAGCTTTTCTACACAATACATAAAATAAAAAAATGTTTTGAGTTCTTCCCTTATTCTAAGTTGTGTGTTTATGATGTCTATTAATATTTATATATCACATGTAAGGAAAGAAATACACATATTTTAGTGGTGATGTTGAAAACTTTGTATTGGGTGTAAATGTATGAGAGAAAGATTTGGAACCACTGGAATATAGGATGGTTTGAGATCAGTCACTGGACTTTTTGAGTTAGTAGAGGCTGCTGAGAGCGGGGAGGATTGTTAAAGAGATAGGGGAAGCACGAGTTAGCATCCATTATGCTGCCCATTATTTAGCATCCAGTGATGAATTTTCTATCATTCCTTTTATACTTATTAATTGTCAGTCTAAGGAAGAGCTTTTTCTTCTCCTCTACTTACTTATTTATTTATATCAACAAAGATTCATAAATTCTTAATTTGTTAAGAATTTATAAATAAAGGGTTATAAGAATTCATAAAGGGTTATAAAAAGAATTTATAAATAGTAATTCTTAATGATTATATCTCTGTTTTATCTTCCCTCCCTTATCTTCTCCACCAACTATAATCACTTTCTCCATATGATAGCTAAACTCCTTTCCTATGCCTTCTGTGACCTTTCTGGCATCTTCTTTACTTAGTTTCATAGTTACTATGTGTCTGGCACTCAATCATTTACCCTTGATTTAAATGTTCCATGTTTCATGCATGAATGTTTCATAACCTCAATCAGACTATAAAATCCTGAGTGATAAGAACAATGTATTTTGCCTTCTTTCAAACTTCTCATTGAATATGTTCTTGTTGAAGTCAGAGAAGAAAAAAACACCGTGCTGTCTTTATATTCAGGCCTGGCACTTAGCAATAGATACCACGTGCAATGTCACATTCAAATAATTTAAATGGAAGCACTAATCTGGGTGGCCCCAAATTTTAAACACAGATTTTAAAAAGCCAATATATAAAATAAAGGATATAAAAATTAAGTAATTTTATGTCTGAGTGAGAAAATTGAGTCCATATCTTACTTCTCACTATTGTAGCAGCAGGGAAAAGAGGGTAGTGTCCATTATTCGGTAGAAATAGGTATACAGTTGCAGTAAGGAAGACTAACTTTTCCTTGACCACGAATTTCTGGAAGAATTTGTTACCTACACAATGTACATTGGGCTAAATGTCTTCAGTAAGAGTTTTTGAAAAATGAACCAGTGTGACCTTTTCAAATGAAAGAGAATTAATTTAAAATTTCTGGAGTGAGGAAGAAGAGGATTGTGTAGTGTAGATAGATAATTTTCCAGTGGTCTAGCTTAACTAACATATAAAGCTTAGAGGATCTTGAGGAGTGAATGGGGATCAGTACCCTAGGCCAGTGCTTGTGATGATCAGATTTCTCAACATAATTATATATAGGAGATACATTGAAGACAAAATAGGGGTCACTAGCAGATACCTGAAGGCCAGGGATTCTCTATTATTGAACCAGAAAAGTTGGTATGCACACTGGATACCAACACGTAGAAGAAGCAGAGCATGTTTAACCATGAAGTAGAAGAGCCTGACTTATAGTTGCCTTGTAATGGAATCCCTTCTCTGCTTTCACATGGAGCTGTGCTACTGGATGACCTCTAAGCTGGGGCAGGATTTTTCTTAAAAAAAAAAAAAGCTATGGGTATGTCCAGATGCTTGAACAAGTGCCAGACAGAAGCCCCAGTGTTTTGATTATAAAGGATGATTGACAAACTTTAATGGAGTATTTGAGTTCAAGAAGACCAGATTCTCACCACTACCATAAAAGTACCTTATAAATACTCCTAAGTAGATTTTATTGTGAACAGATTGTGCTCTGATGAGCTTTCCAGAATAAATCAGCTGCCCAGTGAGGGCCCAGACACTTGAGAGAAAGCTGCATCATATAATTGCTTAGAATTCTTTGTCTGGATTCCACATGGCATCTGCCAGATTTGAGAAAAGGGGTTTTAGTGTAGCTAATATTTAGATACTTCTTTTTTCTGAGACTAATCAATCAGTATTTATTCAACAAAGATTTGCGGTATATCACCTGTGTGCACATCAAACAGGTTAAGCTTTGACAAAAGTCTGTTCACCTATTCATCAGGCTCCAGTGGTAAGGAATTTTCTAATTCTTAAATTTTGCAATTCTGGGAAAGGGACAGGAGGGCTGCTCCATTTAAGAGAAGGGTGGAGACTGGGTCAAAGAAGATCCTATGTTAGTCCATGGTCCTTCCACTTAAGGTAACACACATATGTTTTGCTGGCTTTAGTCCACATCATATGCCATTCCCCCATACTTTTTTTTTTTTTTTGACGCAGAGTCTCACTCTGTCACCCAGGCTGGAGTGCAATGGCGTTATCTCAGTTCACTGCAACCTCTGCCTCCCAGGTTCAAGAGATTCTCCCACCTCAGCCTCCCAAGTAGCTGGAATTACAGGTGTCCACCATCATGCCTGGCAAAATTTTTGTATTTTTAGAAGAGATGGGGTTTCTCCATGTTACCCAGGCTGGTCTCGAACTCCTGACCTCAGGTAATCTACCCGCCTCAGCCTCCCAAAGTGCTTGGATTACAGGCATGAGCCACCGTGTCCAGCCTCCCCCATATTCTTCTTAATAGCATGTAGTCCTAAACTATCCATCTAAATCATTCCATTTTTTAATCTCTATACAACCTTATCCATGTTAACTTTCAGACACTTATCATGTATGTTTGTTGGCTAGCTCTCACTTTACTCACGTAGTTCACATTGCTTCTTAAAACCTGTCATGAGCCTGACGCTCCCGTGTGCACAGACTGGTGCTGATGTGTTCTCATCCCAAAGGACTGGCTGATGCTTCTCAGTTTCTTTCCAGCATTAAATTATTGTTTAACAGGTAAACTGTCAACATTTTGAGAATGTTAATTTTTTTCAGTATTTCTTTTCCTCTTTGCTTTTAAGGCAGGTTTAACAACTTATTTTCATCCTGGAATAAACTTGAAGAAAATACATTATGATAGCATCAAACTTTATGAGAAATTGGAAGAAGAAACTGGGCAGGTAAATGCATTTAACTTGAAACTGTGAGGTCGGCTTCTCAGAAACATGTAAGATTTCCAGAGGATTTTGATGCATCGTTATGTATCACTGTGTGAGTGCTTAAATATGATGAGAATTTAAGGTAAGAACCTCTAGAGTTTGCTTAACTTAATTTTAACCTCTAGAATTTGCTCAGCTTAATTTCTCAAAGTACATTATTCGTGTCATAAACCATTCTTTATTTTTTAAATGAAGAAAGAATAAAAAGCAGCTTTCAAAAGTATCTTTAGCCAGTTACTATGTCTAGAAACTAAGAAAGCAGAGTCTTTCAGCAATCTTATTGCACAGGATCTGACAATAGTATGTGCCAGATTGTCACATGCCTTTGAACAGTACTTCATAAAAGCCCCTCACTTTCATTTTTATCCTTTCTCATATTTACTCACACTCTCAAGATAAAATGGCAGGCAAAAGAGTATCCATAGGCTAAGACTGAGGTCTGCTCACATTTTCCATGCCACTTCCCTTGCCTAAACCATCCAATGGCTCCCCACAGTCTACTGGACAAAGCCAAAGGATTAGCATGGCCTTAGGAACATGACCTTTGTCAGCTGACCTCTGCCTGCTGTCCCAACAGTTTCTTTTGCCACTCTTCCCTCTGCTTATCTGCTTCAGCTACTCTCAATAACATATAGTTTTGGAATGTGCTGAGCTGTCTCAAATCACTGCTTTTTGTTTGTGTTGTGTGCTGTTTTCTGCTGCTTCCTCTGAAACAACATTCCCCCTGGCCCTGTCTTTAGCATCCACCTTCTCCGGGGTCATCCCCTTTGAGAAACCTTCCTTGACTTTTCCTGTCTGCTAAGCAGGTCAAAGCTGGAGATCCCATCTCTTGGTTTTCAGAGCGTTTGTGCACACCTCTCTTTTAATTTGAATCTCTCTTTATTGTAATTGTTGATTTACTTGTTGGTCCTCCCTACAGATGATGAGTAACTTCTGGGCAAGGGCTATACTTTTATCTCTGTAACTGAGTGCTTGGCAAACTGAAGGACTTTTAAGAAATGTCAAATGAATAGTTAACTCAATTCAGACAATCTAAGCATTGCAACATTTTGATTCTATGTAATTTCTCCATAAATTTTTTGTCTTTCTCTTTTTCATATGATTTTTTTTCACTCTGAACATTAACCCTCATTCCATGCTACTGTAATTTTGCTATTAGTTGTCTGTCTTCAACTTTGGGGTATAAATGCCATTTAGGCAGAGTCTTTGCCTGTCTTGTTCACCCCGACATCTGTGGGGCTTAGAATAGTGCCTGGCACGGAAGAGGCACTTAGGAAAGACAGTAGTTGCTGAATGAGTGTCTTTTAATAAGATGCAAATATTTTCATAATTATTTATTTCACTCATAATAAATCTTTCTGTACAGCAGCATTTTCATTTTACTGGAGCAGAGCCATGTTTGAGTACCAAATAATGACTTATTTATATGCTTTTATTGGAATTATTGTCACAGGTGGTGGGATTCCATCAGCCAGGTAGTATCAGGCTTGCAACCACCCCTGTAAGGGTAGACGAATTTAAATATCAAATGACTCGGACTGGCTGGCATGCAACAGAACAGTATATCATTGGACCTGAAAAAATTCAAGAGATGTTCCCTTTACTCAACATGAATAAGGTATTTATCTGAAGGGCATTTTTACCATTTGTTGACTTAAGTTAAAATTAGAAAAAGTTATTAAGAAGAATAACTAAAACCAGAAAACTTTGTACACACCTTTTAAATGTGGCAACATCATATGATTAATTTTGGAATTTGAGTAATTTAAATGATATATAAAAAGGTAATAATGATAAACCTTGTTAGTTTTTCACCTCTGACAACTGATTAAACATTTTCAACACCTTTCCATTATTGTGTCCCCCAGATGTAAGGGTTTTCATACACAAACCTTCTGTTTGAGAACTGCAGAGAGAATGATAACCTGATATGATAAATGTCTAGAAAGACTGTGATATTAAAATATTTTAAAAATCAAATTAAGAAATATCATGGTACATTGTGCTACAAACATCACCTAGCTTATAGCTATACTTCCCTTACAGACTCTGTGCCAGGTATGGATCTAAATTTATACCACATTTGCCTGAGAGAATCTACTTGACATGAAATTTAGTGTTTTTTCCTGCTGGGTAATAATTCTTTTTGAATAACAATAAAAATGACTAACACTGCAGCACATATTTATATACCAGTTAATATGCTAAGTCCTTACATGCATAATTTCATATAATCTTCACAATAATATTATGAGGTAGGCCAGGTGCCATGGCTCACTCCTGTAATCCCAGCATGTGGTAAGGCCAAGGTGGGGGAATTGCTTGAGGCCAGGAGTTCAAGATCAGCTTGAACAACATAGTGAGACCTCATCTCTACACACAAACACACACCACACACAAACACACAATTAGCTGAGTGTGGGGTAGTAGGACTCCATCTGTAGTCCTAGCTACTTGGGAGGCTGAGGCAGGAAGATCTCTTGAGCCCAGAAGTTCGAGGTTACAGTGAGCTATGATTACGCTACTGCACTCCAGCCTGGGCAACAAAGTAGGAGCCTATTTCTAAAATTTAAAAGATAAAAATAAAAAAAATTACATCTATATCTATGTTATGAGGGATATATTACTGTTAAACAGGACGTGTAGCTTAGACAGTTTACCTAGTAAGCCCAAGCTCATTCACTAGAAAGAGCTGGAGTGGAGATTTGAACCCTGGCTCTCTTACTCCCTTGCATTATACATACTGCCCAAATGTATTAGATGGGGCTGTTGGGGAAGCACATGCTTATTTCCTTGCTGGTGGCCACTGCAGTAGTTCTAGTCTCTGAGGGCTCATATCATTGACCTGGGTGCTAGGGTTGTTTGTGCTTGTGAGTCTTCGCAGGCTGCTTGCTGGCCGTCCCTTGACTGTAGTTGTGTGTGACACCAGTGTAATGGCAGATTGGCATTGCACTGCATTGTCTGCATTGAAATTTTACCTTCACTACCAGTAAGGGTATACTTATATTTGTTTATATGTCAATCCTGAATGCTTTGCTGGAACTCCTCACTATCATAAATTTTTCTCAAGGGCATTCATTAAGCAATGGGAATATATGTGAAGGGTATCTTCTGCATCTGGTACAGGGTACCAAACCAAAGAGATGTGGGATTGCTACAACAAGGTCGTATCCATTTTAAAACACCAGTGTGACATTTGGAAGCTTTTAGAAATGTGAATTCCCTTAAAATAAAAAGTCCCTTGCACAAGACCTATAATAAATGAAAGGATTGAATTTGTAATCAAAAACTTCCCACAAAGAAAAGCCCAGGCCTGGATGACTTCATTGGTTAATTTTACCAGATATTTAGAGAAGACTTAATACCAATCTTTCACAGACTCTTCCAAAATAGAAAAGTGAATGCCTCTCAACTCATTCTATGAGGCCCATATTGCCCTGATAACAAAATCAGACAAAAGCATTCCAAAAAAAGAAAGATTGGTATCCCTTATGAACACAGATACAAAAATCCTCAACAAAATACTAGCAAACTGAATTCTGCAACATCTAAAACAGATTATACAGTATGACCAAATGGAATGTATTTCAGGAAGGCAGGGTTGGTTTTACTTCTAAAAATTAACCAGTATAGCAATACCACATTAATAGAATAAAGGACAAAGCCACACAATTATTTCAATAGATACAGAAAAAACATTTGACAAAGCTCCTTGCTTGTATTTGGCGCTCAGCCAATTTTTGTTGAATAGATGAGACTTCTATATAATACTTCACTAATCATTCTATCAACCCATCTCATCTGAGTTTCATTCTTTGTTTTCCCCGCAGTACCTTGCCTGAAGCCCTAACACAAAGTAGATATTCAAGAATTAGTTGTTGAATGATTGAATCAAACATAAATTTCCTGACACCAGATATATTATTTAACATGTGGATTTATTAACAGCATTAAATAATTGACAGCATATAAATAAATTATAATTGGTATGTCAGTTAGAATTAGATTTGGCTTCAAATGTCAGAAACCAAAATAAGAAGGCATAAAAAAAGATAGAAGTTTATTTCTTTTTCTTTTCAGTACTCTAGGACTTGAATGGTGGCTTTTTTTCATGAAGTCTTCAGGGACCCAGTCACTTCCCAGATCAAGAAACACTTTTAAAGCCCAGTTTTACTAAATGTTTGCTAGCAGGATATATTTTTACTGAGTAATAAGTATGTATGTGTTTCTATATTGACTCTGCTATGATTGATTCAGGTTTTAGCTGGATTGTATAATCCTGGAGATGGTCACATTGATCCCTATTCTCTAACTATGGCTCTGGCTGCTGGAGCTAGGAAATATGGTGCCCTTTTAAAATATCCTGCACCAGTAACTTCTCTGAAACCCAGGTCAGATGGAACATGGGACGTTGAAACACCACAGGGGTCTGTGAGAGCAAATAGAATTGTGAATGCTGCAGGTAAGCGTATCGTTTTTTTTTTGAAATTTGTGGGTTTTTTTTTCGAATGCCAAAGAAAGAAGATGTTTAACCATAACGTTTCATACTATGGACGTTGTCATGAAGTACTGTCATGCTCCCAAGTTAAACATTTTGTCTGTTTCTGTTACAAAGCCCTCCCTCCATCACTTTGCTGTTGGTGGATGCACTATCACTCTGTCCTTGGCTGTCCATAAAAAGTTGCTTATTTTCTACATTGTGCATTTTATTTTGCTCCAGGTTGTGTTTTTCCAAATGATGCTTCTTTTTCCTTCCTATGTTCACTGTTTCTCTATATTAATAACTGAATTCTATTGTTGAAATTCATAAGCATCCTCTTGGTTTCCAATTTGCTTTTTAGAGCAGATTTGATCACTTGTGTTCGCTCTCATCGATTTCTGATGACTTTTGACTCTAGTCAAAAACTTTTTAAACACTTTTCCTTCTAGAACATTATTAAACATATTTCATAATCGTCTCTTTGGGTTGTTCTGATACAGTTTGGTCTCAGAGTAGTGAAGCCAAAAAGAATATTTGGGATAATCCAACAACACACTCATTTTCCATTTGCAGAGGCAAGGTCCAAAAGGGTCATGTTACTTGACCAAGCAGCAGGCAGAGCTCGTTATGTCAGAGCCCAGGCTGGGATCTGGGCCTTTTGATTCTTGAGTTAATACACTTTCTAAGAGGTTGATTGCATGTCAAGTCATTTTCAACTATCACACATGCAAAATAAATTATAGTGAAAATGCTTGTATAATCTAAACTGCGATAATAGTTTATATTTTTCTATAAATATAAAACCTAAAATAAGCATAAGGCAGTGACTGGGTTTGAGTTCTTGCTTAAATTATAAAATGAAAAAAATCTTTATTATTTAACAGATCAAATGATATCCGATGAGGACAAGCCAGAAACCCATACCCTTATGATTCTTTCCTCTGTATTGTAACTTTTGATTGATATTATTTTTAGCAAAGCATTTTTAGTGGTCCTAGAAAAAAGTCATGTCTTCAATATTTAAGAGTCTAAAGTAGTTACTTCCGAATTTCTCTCACCCATGCCTCGTATTTGAAAAACATAAAAATCTCATGCTTTCTTTAATATAATTAGAAATTTGCAATAATATAAAATGACTTGCCTGAAAAATAAGAGCAGTGGCACAAAACAGCATCGCTTTGTTTTTGAGCCTCACTTTCAGTCTCCATCTGATACTATCCTCTCTTAATGTCCTTAGGCATCTGTGGTCTAAATTCTGTCAGAAGGCTTAAGGCAATAAACTAATTCAGACTTTTTTTTTCCAAGTAGCAAGGATTCTTTGTTATTTTGCAACTTTTTCTATGGTCTCACGAATTCAGGCTCTAAAAACATTTGACTGTTTTCATCTTGATAGCAAATACTAAAGTAATATACTGAGATTTCCACATCCAGCTCCTGTAGCAGATTGCTAATCAATTGCCATACTCATTTCAGATGGGCTTGGACAAAGCCCCATCATTTTTCTCAATGCAGTATTTCAGGCAATCATATATTCTTAATTGGCATTTTGAGAAATAACATAGAAGATCTTAATTTAGTACATTTATCCATTGTTTTCCTAAAATGGATAAACACATGTACATAATAAATTGTCATTGTAATATATATTTTTTTCTAAACCACATACTTTAACAAATAAGGAATCACTGAAGAGGAAGATAGAATAATTTCTAAAAAGATCTGACTGAAACCTATTACTCTGGTTACCAGATGAAGCTTTCTCTGCAGCTGTGAAATCTTGTGGGGTAATGGGGTGCAGGAGGGCAGGGGCAGGAGGTCCTTGAGGACAGCTTTCTCATGCTGGCCCGGAAAACAAGTCCCTGAAGTTATGACAGTGTGGTGCCGCATAAAGTGGTAATGCCTCCGTTTTTCTTTTTTCTTGTGCTTTTTGCCTAGCCACTTCCACTGCTTTTTCCTGGTAACTCCAGGCAGCTCCTTGCTGAAACTTGTGGGAAGTAGCCTATCTCAGTTCTTTATCTCATTCACATCAGATCTCTGCTCCCTAATCTTTCTTTTTTTTCTTTTTCTCCTCCATCTCTTTTCTTCCAATGGGCAAAAGTTAGCAAGAAAATCTAACTGATTACGTATTAGTAGTCCACAGGACATGTAGAGGGCCGTGTGTGTGTGTGTGTGTGTGTGTGTGTGTTTAATTATCTGTAAGTCTGTTTTCAAAAATTCTTTACTTAAAAGATAGAAGATCCCCCAAAGGGTAAGCCTCAGTAATAGAGAACAAAAGTTTGGATATGTTTCCTTCTAGAACTGAAGCTAACAAAGATCAATTTTATGAATAAAAGCAACCATCTGCAGAAGGCATCATGCTATACTAAAATGACTGGACAGTGTGTGGCTGGTGGAATGTTTCCCACAGTTTCTCAGTGTGAGCAGGGTATCTCCCAAATTCAGGTGAGGCCCTGAGACCAGCACTGAAATCTGATTAAAGGAGCCAGGATACGGACTTGGAAATACAACCAGAATGAAAAAGATGTAAATGCTGCTGGGTCTGCAGGGTATCCATAAAAAAAAATTCTATGAGTAAAAATTTGTCAAATGATGTGTTTCCGGCATTGTCCATGGCAGTGGTGCTCTGTGGCCCAGGGACACATTGCCAACTGAGTGACTTCGGCAAGTTACTTATTTGTAAAACGAGGATAATAGTCCCCATCTTGAAAAGTTATTATGGGTAGTAAATAAGCTAATTCTGTAAAGTGCCCAGAGCAGGGCTCACCAGGTAGAAAGCATTACAAAAATTAGGTATAATAATTATTATGATTATTGCAATTATTTCCTTGATATTCCATGCCCTAGTCTGGGAGACACTAGCATCAGGTTATGATAGCTTCTTGGTGCCAGACTTAAGATTGCTCAACTCCTTTCTTTTCCAATTTACTAGCAGAGTGGGTGCAGAATCCAGCACCCGCTGTGCTGGTAAATTGACTTCCCAAAGAGCTTGGTTATCAAGCTCGTGTGCACAACAATCATCTTGGGAAGTTTCCCAAGCTTCAAATGGATTCTAAGTCAGGTGGTCTGGGTAGTGACTCAGAAGCTGCATTTTAAGTAACTACTCCAGGTACTGTACTGTCTGTACCAGACGATTTGCAAGAAAATCTTTGAAAAAACACTATGGTACAGGTGTTTCTACAGAAGAGAGTATATAATGACTGTATTCTTGAGCTAGCAGAACTGGGGAAGTTTCTGACGCTCCCCACTTCTTGATGGGCAGTTGTCTAAGTTGCCTTTCGTTACTGAAGCTTTCCAAATTGGCTTCACTCTACCCTTTCCCTCAGGTGCAGCTCAGGGACATGGGCTGGTGCTAGTTACGATGATGCAAGCTTTTCTATGCATAGTGCTGAACATTTTTGTTTACCTAATTTCCAATTGACTCGGTAAGTCTGAGATAACTTTGTAAAATTTACTTAAGAATTTCCCTAAGATGGAAAATCAGAAATGTGATTGGGTTGTGCTGACATGAAGCTCGGTGTTCAGCCAAAAAGAAATGCTTAATTTTGCCTGATACTCTGCGTCAAAGCATGAAGCCATCATTGTCATCATAGAAACCATCTAGCAGAAGTAAACTTGTCTGTGAAACTTCACCCTGCATTTTAACCTCATTTTTACTAATCACTGCATTTTTAAAAAATGAAAGCCATTTCCACTAGTCATTTTTTGACTTTTCAGTTGTTTTTCAGGTGATAGTGGTAGATTTTAGAATGAGTCTTTCACATTTGTCTCTCTTCCCTTTGAACCTAATGGGTGATCAGGCAGGAGCTAAAGTGTAACTCTAGCTAGATTTAGGTTAATTTGATTGACATATAGAAGAAGACAATGCTAAAGGACACCACCCCATAGATGTCTATGGGTAAACAGCATAGAGCTTGCTGTGGAATTTGAAGTAATATAGTGATATGATACTTCTGCATACATTTCCACTTTAATGATGAAGTGCATTAATAAGCAAACAGTTGGACTCAGAAATTCTTAAATATGTTCAAATAGGACAGAATTTGTTTTCTTCAATTTATGTTTTTAATTGAAAAAAATATATTGAGGATATTGCAGTAGTTTGAATTGCTAGGCTAAATATTTTGATTTTTTTATATTTAAAAATTGTTCTACTGTATATAACTAGAATATGTTGCTTTACTATATTTTCATACACAGTCCTGACATTGGTAATTCACATTTTCCTACTAGCAAGAATAAATTAAGTCTCAAAATTACTAAAAGACCAATACTCCTATACTTTAGGAGACTGAGTTGGGCAGATTCCTTGAGCCCAGGAGTTGAAGACCAGCCTGGGCAACATGGCAAACCCTATCTCTATAAAAGATACAAAATTAGCCAGTCATTGTGGTATGTGCCTGTAGTCCCAGCTACTCAGGAGGCTAAGATGAGAGGATCACCCGAGCCCAGGAGGTTCGAGGCTGCAGTGAGTTATGATCGTGCCACTGCACTCCATTGCAGCCTGGGAGACAATGTTAGACCCCATCTCAAAAACAAAACAAAGCAGTCAGGCGTGGTGACTCACACTTGTGATCCCAGCACTTTGGGAGGCTGAGACAGGTGGATTACCTGAAGTCAGGAGTTGGAGATCAGCCTGGTCAAAATGGTGAAACCCCGTCTCTACTAAAAATACAGAACTTAGTTGGGCATGGTGGTGTGCGCCTGTAATCCTAGCTACTGGGGAGGCTGAGGTAGGAGAATGGCTTGAACTCGGGAGATGGAGGTTGCAGTGAGCCAGGATCGTGCCACTGCACTCCAGCCTGGGCAACAGAGCGAGACTCTGTCTCAAAAAACAAAACAAAACAAAACAAAACACCAACAAATAGCTCTGATGCCCACAGGTTAGATTTCTGGTTTGCAAATGGGTACCCATTTCTGGGTTTATTATATGAGTGTGACCAACTTAGCCATTGCAACAAACAAAACAATAGAATACCAGCTAGTGGTCGACTTACGACCACGGTCGGGACCGTGGACCAGTGGTAACATGATTTGGTCCTACGTTGTGTAGGCTATATGTACAGTTGAAATGGGGCACTTGGAGATGGTAGTGCTGCCGGAAGCTGGTCTGCACTGTCCTACGCCCAGCTGGGCAACGTTTGCGCTGCCAGACGCGGAGCAGTCGTGGCTAGCGATTGTGGTCGTAAAGTCTAATGGTCGTAAGTTGCATAGGTGGTAAGTCGATCAATACCTGTACAAGGGAAAGTTTTAGATAGTTACATGGAAATAAACTTATATGTACAAGTACATAGTCTAGGTTCCCAGACTGACTCATAATTGATGAGTCTGCATCTAGGTTGGAACCTCATAAGGACAGATTTCAGAATTCCTTATTAGATTCAGAAAACCAGCAGAGACGGAAATGGTTAAAAAATTAGCATGCAATCCCTAAAGAAATAAATAGGATTGTGTAATCATTTAAATGATCACTCAAAATTATTATGAAACACACAAGCAAATAGAACTCCCTGCCCCAAAATCATCTAACGATAGGTCAGGCAACAGCATATCCTTGCCAAATAATAAGCATTTTTATTATTTTAGATTCTAAAATCCCTTTATACAGTGAAGGTACCTTGGATTTTTAAAATAAAGTCTTTCTGCAGCAAGAAAACCAATAAGATGTGATGATTACAAGATGTACATTGTGTCCTTGGGCATGTCTTACCCTTTAGCTCCCACATCTCTGTGCTGAAGGGTCAGCCTGGGAAAGAATCAAGGGTCCTTTCAGCCACAAATTATCCAGTTCTATCTTTTGCAAAAGAAAAAAATAACATTCACTTCTACTAATAAGACAATCTCTGTGCTAAAGTGAAGTGGGAAACATTTGTCTTGGGAACTCTCCACCTACTTATGAGACCAGTCTCCTCTTTCCTGTGGCTCCTCTTCCTCCCTGGTTTTGACTTCTGGTGCTTTTGTGCCCTTACAATAAAGGATCTTACAAACTTATTCAGATTAAACTTTTAAAACAACAGATAAAATTTAATGAACTCTCTCTCCCAAAGTTTTCAAATTTTGGGAGAACCATTTTCAAATTTTAACTTAACAGAACAATTTTGTATTTTTGGAGTTTGGGCATCAATGATTTGGGGAGAATAGGGCTTGGAGGATAGAGGAGTTGGCTTGTAGGGCTTTCTTAGGTCTATCATTATGTATTGTGATGTTGGTCACAGCAACATGGGGGCCTCTTTTGCCTGACCATCCCTGTCCACAAATAGGGGCAGTCTGTTATGGTACTTCTTATTAACATTTGTACATTTTGTATGTTTGAATTATTTATTTTTTGTTCCAAATAAATTTTTTTCATTTTTTTCCCTGCCTACCTTTGCTTATGAGCCACAACATTTTCAGGAATGGAGTTCCCATAGATCATAGATATCTTTGAATCTCTGGGAGAGGCAAAACATTGTCTTCTCTTCCCCCATTTAGTTTTGCAATGACAAAAGTTTAGATTGTCATCACATTTGTTAGACTTTGCCATGAGTACTTAAGCCTTCTAAACATTTTATTCTAATATAAATTGCTATATGAGTGTCAGTTGTGGTGTGTTTATATATGTGCTGACACTTTTAAATGATTTTTTTTGTTTAAGGATTTTGGGCTCGTGAAGTAGGTAAAATGATGGGACTAGAACATCCTCTCATTCCGGTTCAACATCAGTATGTTGTTACGTCAACTATACCTGAAGTGAAAGCTTTGAAACGAGAACTCCCTGTGCTCCGTGACCTGGAAGGATCATTTTACCTCCGACAAGAAAGGGATGGGCTTTTGTTTGGTCCATATGAAAGTCAGGAGAAAATGAAAGTTCAGGACTCCTGGGTCACCAATGGAGTTCCTCCAGGTGGGTTCAGCAAATGAAAGTGTGTGCTGGTCAGACACGAATGGTTCATCCTCTCCATGGCTGGGGGATGGCTGTAGAATAAGGCAACAGCATAATACTAGACTTTCAGATACCTGGGACATTGGTGGTGATGGGTTTGAGGTGAGCTCTGTTCTCATATGCCTTTGAACAATCACAGCAGGGAGTGGGAGAAGAGTAGTTGATGGTAGAGAAGCTGAAGGAACATTTCTAGCTGCTTTGAAAGGCTCCAGTTACATTTTTACCTGCTCACACAACCTCCTGCTTCCCTGTTTTTTCCTCAATCCACTGCCAGCTTGGTCTACTTTCAAGATTTGAATATAGCCGCTATTGTACTTTTACAGCTGGAAAAACAACTGGTATCAGAGGCCAGATATCCATCCTACTAAGAATGAAAACCTAAAAGTCTATAACAGAGCGGGGTTTTTAATACTGTAAATGGAGGTCCTCCATGCTGCATAAATGGATATGGAAAAGGCTTGTGCCTCTCTGCCAAAGCAGGGGATACTATAGTTTCAAGTAAGGGAGATGGATCTGTTTTTGCTTGCCATGAAGTGTTTCCACAGAACCAGATTAAAGATTGGGTCATCTAAAGAGGTACCTCAGGTTTTAATCTATAAAGAGAGCTAAAAAAAATCACCGGGGCACTGAAATATTACAGGAAATATAAATAAATGGAGGAAATGGTACTTCCTAAAATTATACTTTGACAAGCTTCTTGAGGTAGGAAATGAATCCCTCCATCCTACTCCTCAAAGAGTAGTCTCAAGTAATAGCAAATGATCACTAAACCACCTTCCCCAGAAGTTAGGCCAGCTGGTTTCAGGGCTTTGGTTGGGCTGAGTGGGCTCTGCACATTTAAGCCTGAGTGGAATTGCTCCTGATTCCAAAGGGAGGACTGAAATGCCACCTGAGAGCCTCCCTCTCTGCTATTCCCCCATGTTGGCAGCTTCTCCTTCAAATAAATGTTGAACAAATATTTAAGTAATGCCATTTGAAGGGAGAGCTGGATTGTTAGCAGTCCGTGAGCATGGGTACCCGTGTGTGCTAGTCCACCCTGGTGGTCTGCAGGCCTCCATGAGAATGACCCTACCTGCAGTCCCCAGAAGCGGCAAGAAGGTGGCTGGCTGCTATGTGGAAAAATCACCAGTGTTGGTGGAGACATTCTTTTAGAAGCTCATCTGTGGCCCTGCCTGTAATCACAGTGACTTTTAGGACAAGAGGAGGATTGTGCTTCGAGACCCTGCCTCTTTTCAGAACTCTAGCCCTTGGATGTGTGTGGGGGAGGCTAAAGGAAGGAGCCTCCATGCCATTCCTTCCCTGCTGAAAGGAGAATTAAAAGAGGTCTGAAATCCATCATCTTAGATCGCAGAGCAGTGTTCTACTTTTTCCAGGATTCTGCCATGACTTTGTAAACTCCCATTTGCCCTCATCTGGGCAGCGGGGGTGGCGGGGATGAAACAGGTTCTTATGGTTAATTGAAGCATATGATCTCTCTTGACAAACCAAATTATTGTTTGTTTTTTTAAAAAACTATGATTGGATTAAATATCAGAAACTATATTATTAATACATTTAAATTTTCTATTAATTAAAGAGGTTAACTTTTATGATTTTGTTTCAAGGACAATAACATTACTGTTCTCAGTAATCATCTGTTACTAGTGAATATCAAGTTTAGACTTCAACAAAAAATGGCAGTACTTTCCTAACAGGTCATCTTTAAATGCAGGTCATGTCAGAGACCTGAATCATTTTATAGGACTTGTCAGCTCAGCTAGGGCATCCTGACCATAAGGGCAAATCTTTTTAGGTTTTGGAAAGGAACTCTTTGAGTCTGATCTAGATCGAATCATGGAACACATCGAAGTTGCCATGGAAATGGTTCCTGTCTTAAAAAAGGCTGACATCATCAATGTCGTCAATGGTCCTATCACGTATTCTCCTGACATTCTGCCTATGGTGGGGCCCCATCAGGGGGTCAGAAACTACTGGGTGGCCATAGGCTTTGGGTGAGTATCTTCATGTAATTCGACATTTATTGTAGACTCACTTATTTTAGCTAAATCTAGTCCCATATTCTCAGGATGCAGAAGGGAAATGTGGGAGGCTGAGAGAGAGACCCAGAGAGCTTTCTCCCTTTCATGACCAAGGAATCATACAATAACAAAAAAGTACTAGTTTAATCACTTGTATATATTTCAAAGAAGGGCAGTTATTTCCTGGAACACAGAAGGGCAGTGATTTCTTGGAGTTTTCTCTCTCTCTTTTTTTTTTAATGAGATGGAATTTTGCTCTTGTTGCCCAGGCTGGAGTGCAACAGAGCGATCTTGGCTCACTGCAACCTCTGCCTCCCGGGTTCAAGTGATTCTCCTGCCTCAGCCTCCTGAGTAGCTGGGATTACAGGCACCCACTATCATTCCCAGCTAATTTTTTTTTTGTATTTTTTTTAGCAGAGATGGGGTTTTACCATGTTGGCCAGGCTGGTCTCGAACTCCTGACCTCAGGTGATCTGCCTGCCTCAGCCTCCCAAAGTGCTGAGGCATGAGCCACTGCGCCTGGCCTCCTAGAGCTTTCTTTTTGCGTATTTCCTGCCATTACTATTAATTGTGTCTCATTTTATGCTGTGTATCTTCAGATAGTCAATTTGCCCCAGTTTTACAAGGATGTTTTCATAATACAATGTGACAAAGGTAATTCAAAATGTCAAATGTCTAATATATCTGCTGCATTTTTCACCATAATTCATGTTTGTCCAACATGACTTATTTCTTTATAATTCCTCAGGTTGCTTCCTATTTATGATTCCATTGCCTCTTTGATGTTTCATTTCCAATATTTGTTCCGTTAATTTAGTGAATATTGATGTCAACCCCACTCAACTATCATATCACAGCTTCTAATACTCTATTTTTCTTCCTCATTTTATTTCTCCATTTATTCAACTAATGTTTAATAACTGGTAGCTCTGTGCCAGGCCTAGGGCTAGGCATTGGGATTGAGACAACAAGGCAGTGAGGTCTGATTGGGGCTGGAAGGCTGCCTGAGGCACAGCTCTGTTGATCCAATAGATAGGCTGGGGTCTCCACTAAGGTAGCTGCAGTGAAGACTGAGAGATGGAAGATAAAATTATCTAGATTTGGTGATCAATTCCGTAAGATATTGAAGGGAAGAGAAAGTGGCAAATGATGGCAACCTTTCTAACTTGACCACTGTCTATATGGAGTCATGGAGAGAGAGACAAGAAAATAATGAGTTCCATTTTTGATGGGTTGGGTTTGAAGCGTTAAGCTTAGGTACATGGGACAACCAGAGGGAGAAGGTCAGATGGAGATTTGGGATGGGAAGTTGTAATGTAACTGAGGGCTTATATAATCAGCTATAGAGTCCATATGCTGGCACGTGCAAGCAGGAGTGCTTCTGCACGTCGCTCATTTATCTCCTTTGGAGAAACGTCTATTCATATCCTTTGCCATTTTTACAATTGGATAATTTGTCTTTTATTGTTTAGTTTTAGAAGTTCTTTATATATTCTAGATACAAGACCCTTATCAGGTACATGATTTGCAGAACTTTTCTCCCATTCTGGTGTTGTCTTTTTACTTTCTTGATGGTGTCCATTAAAATATAAAAGTTTTTAATTTTGATGAAATCCAGAATATGTGTTTTTTCTTGGTTCACATGTACATTTGGCATCATATACAGGTAACCATTGTCTAATCCAAGTTTGTGAAGATTTAAACCTATGTTTTCTTCTAAGAGTTTTATAGTTGTAGCTTTTGCATTTAAGTCTGTGATCAGTTTTGAGTTAATTCTTGTATATGATGTGAGGCAGGTGTCCAACTTCAGTCTTTTCCTACATATAGCCAATTGTCCTAGGACTATTCATTGAAAAGGTCATTGAATTATTCTGGCGTCTGTAATGTCTTTTTTCTGATTCCTTTTCTCATACCAAATATGTGGTATTTTCCAATAGCAACAACCAATTCTCCAATTCTCCAGTACCAACTGGGTGTCCAACAATTCCATTCAATTCTGACACCAACTCCTAGAATTAATATAGACCCTACAGGTTAAGGGATCCATTCCACAAGACTGCTCTCACTTCAGACACCAGTCTCAAATCTGAGGAGGCATCAAACTGGGTGTTCCCACAACCCTCTCCTCAGATTTGAAAATTTGCTAGAATGCATCACAGAACTTGGAAAAATACTTATGTTTACTCTTTTATTACAAAGGATACAACTCAGGAGTAGCCAAACAGAAGAGATACATAATACAAAATGTGAGGGGTTGGGGTGGGTGGTGCAGCACCACTAGGCCCTTTCCAGGCACCTTCCTAGCCCATCACTCTGTTCAACCCAGAAGCTCTCTGAACCCCATGCCTAGGTCTTTATGGAGATTTCATTACATAGGCATGATTGATTAAATTATTGGTGACTGAACTCAATATCCAGCCCCTCTTCACTCCCTGGAGGTTGGAGTAGGGAGTGGGACTGAAAGTTCCAACTCTGTAATCATATGGTTGGTTTTTCTGGCAACCAGCCCCTATCCTGAAGCTGTCTAGGATTGCCCTCCTCTCTTCACAAAAGCTATCTCATTAACGTTCAAAAAATAGTAAATCTCAGAAATGTTTTATGAACTCTGTGTCAAGAACTGGGGACAAAAACCAAATATTTAATTTTTATTATACTGCAGCATCTTTTTATAAAGTAAATTGACCATAGATGTATGGGTTTATTTCTAGACCCTCAATTCTGTTCCTTCATCTGTGTCTATTCTTATGTGACTACTATACTGTATTTTATTTATTTGTTTATTTATTTATTTATTTATTTATTTATTTAATTTTAAGACAGTCTTGCTCTGTCGCCCAGGCAATGGCACTATCTTGGCTCACTGCAACCTCCATCTCCCAGGTTCAAGCAATTCTCCTGCCTCAGCCTCCCAAGTAGCTGGGATTACAGGCACACGCCACCACACCTGGCTAATTTTTGTATTTTTAGTAGAGGTGGATTTTTGCCATGTTGGCCAGGCTGGTCTCGAACTTCTGACCTCAAGTGATCTGCCTGCCTTGGCCTCCTAAAGTGATGGGATTTCAGGCATGAGCCACGACGCCCAGTTGACACTCTCTTAATTACTGTTACTGGAAGTTACTAGCTTTGTAGTAACTTCTGAAGTCAGGAAGTGTGAATCCTCCAACTTTGTTCTTTTTCAAGATTATTTTGGCTGGATGCCCCATAAATTTTAGCACCAGTTTGCCAATTTGTGTGAAGAAGTAAGCTGAGATTTTGATAGAAATTGCATTGAATCTGTAGATCAACTTGGGGAGTACTGACATCCAAGCAATATTAAGTCTTCTGATCCATGAACATGAAATGTCTTTCCATTTACTTAGGTCTTTTAAAATTTCTTTCAACAATGATTTGTGGTTTTCAGAGTAAAAACTTTGCATGTCTTTTGTTAAATTTATTCCTATATTTTATCCTTTTTGATATTGCAATTGACTTTTAGTATTAAGTAATAGAAATTGAGGATCATTGACTATAAGGCATATTCTGAACTTTAAACAAGCAGATAGTGTCACTGATCTCACCCTATTAACTAATTGCTAAGGAAAGTAGCAAGTTGCTTCCTCTAGAACAAGTTATTTACAACCTAGAAATCCCATCTATTTGCATGTGACTGATGTCAGACTCCTCCCCTGATTGCTGTGGCTAATTTTCTCAGGTAGTAGACATTGGCAGGTGGGTGCAGAAGATAACAGGGGGGAGTTGGGGTGGGCAAAGTGCCTCTCTGTCTTTGACAGGTTTGGTCTAAACCAAAAAGCCTTCCCCTTACCTAAAGTTGAGGTTTCTAGGATATTTCTTATGTAATATAATGGAATACCCCATTGGCTGCCCCTCCTGGCTTGTATCGGTACACTCAATCCATGATTCTGGAGGCAAGTGGTTTTCATACCTGGGTGAGGAGCAGAGTCATCTGAGGAGCAAATTAAGAAGCAGAGTCTTGACCATGTGGTTAGTCACATGCACACGTTTTATCCTCCTATACCTCTCATCTATGAAATTCCTATTATTGGTCACTAGAACCCACGTGGTTTAGTGTGCTTGGGCTGCCATAACAAAGTACCATAGACTGGGTGATTTAAACAACAGAAATTTACTTTCTCACAGTCTGGGGGCTGGAGGTCTGAGGTCAGGAAGCCGTCATGGCAGAGTTCTGATGAGGGCTCTCTTCCTGGCTTGCAGATGGCCACCTCTGGCTGTGTGTTCATGTGGCTTTTCCTGGGGGGGCTGTGAGGGGTGTGGAGAGAGAGAACAAGCTCTCTGGTGTCTCTTCATAGAAGGACACTGATCCTGTCATGAGGGCCACACCCTCATGACCTCATTTAACCCTAAGTACTTCCCAAAGGCCCCATCTCTAAACACCATTACACTGGGGACTAGGGCTTCAACAGATGCATTATGGGAGGACACAAAGATTCAGTCCATAGCACCATGAAAGATGTGTTGAATCGAAACAAGCAAGCAAACAGATTTCCAGACACCACTCCTGTAGATTCTGATTTACAGAATCTGGAGAGGGGGCCCAGGAATCTGTATTTTATTATGATATTATCTGTAATTCTTGGTACAGCCAGTTCAGGGAATAGGTGTTTGCAAACTGCTTACATATGTGCCAGTGCCCATTTACCTTACACACAGGATATCCTCAGCCAAAGCTATTTTACTTTGGGCATTTGTTTTGTCGCAACTCTAACAAGTTTTTCTGCTTCTAGGTGACTAACACAAAGCCCCAAAAATGTCTTATGAATGGTATTTAATTGAATCTGATTTTCTTGGCTTAGAACAGATTATAAACAGCACATTTAGAGGGGAGAGTGCTATAAGATGTAACATCCAGTCATTTAGAAGAGTTATAAAAAGCAGATACAAACACTCCGAAAGCATAGCAGCCCAGGGCCATTGAAAAGAATCTGGAATTCTGCAGATTAATGGTAGAGACAGAAGAGCCTAACCCTCCTCTGCTCATTAAGTTCCCTTCTACTTTCACTTCACACCACACTTCCTTAATACAATCCTTTTAACTGGTCATACAAGGGCTCAATAGCCACCATGTATTCCTTGCCTACTATGTGCTGTGCAGTACACTAAGTGCTTTCAAACGCCATGGCAATTAATTCTCCTCCAACACCATAAAGAAAGTGTGCACAGGAGAAGAATGAAGCTCAGGGTAGTTACATAACTTGCCCCAGGTCACCCAGCTAACAGTGGCAGAACAAGAATCATACCCAGATCTTTTCCCCATGCTTTTATACTTTTAGCTACTAATCCAGGGATTCTCCAGAGATGTTTCATAACACTTAGTTGTGTGGAATTTTACATAGGGCTTGTTAATGGTTGGATAGCTTGTTTGTAAAATATTTACCTTTTAGAAATAAATTAGATTTCATTCCCCTCCCCCCTGCTCCCACCCAAATGACCGCACTCTGCCCATTTGTTTGCTCACATGCATGGTTGAAAGGGAAAGAACATGATAGTATAGCAGCCAGGCCAAAGGAAATAAAAGCACCTCTGGCTCCACCTGGGAGTCTGTCAGAAATATAGACAGTGCCATATCTGCTGTGTGTGTCTTGGCTGAACAAAGATTGAGAACCACTGAAGATAGGAAAGTCGATAACAAGGAGTGTGTGTTCCAGGGTCAGATAAGTGAATTTGTATCCTGAATCTAGTCTTTATTGCTGTGTGACTTTATTTAGCCTCTGTGTGGGGGTTGATCTTTCTCCTTGGTAAAATAGACTTGCTAAAGCATAAATCAGCTTCTACATGTTAGATGGAAACAATGCCTGGTAAGTGGGAGGGACTCGGTGTTGGTAAAACTTTATAAGCCTTCAAGTCTTATCACCAATATAGCTTTCAAAAATGGTAACTGTTCTGGCCAGGCATGGTGGTTCACACCTGTAATCCCAGCACTTTGGGAGGCTGAGGCAGGTGGATCATTTGAGGTCAAGAGTTTGAGACCAGCCTGGCTAACATGGTGAAAGCCCATCTCTACTAAAAGAAATACAAAAATTAGCCAGGCATGGTGGTGCATACCTGTAATCCCATCCACTTGGGAGACTGAGGCAGGAGTATCGCTTGAAGCAGGAGAATCACTTGAGCCTGAGAGGCGGAGGCTATGGTGAGCTGACTGCACTCTAGTCTAAGCAACAGAGTAAGACCCTGTCTCAATAAAATAAAATGGTAACTGTTCTCTATGGGCATTGGGCCTGGTTAAGTAAATGTGCTAACTTTAATAAACATTTTAAGCATATATTTAATACTTTTTCTTGCTTTCTTGAAGTTTAGAGAGGCTGTTTGTGGATAATTTGGATGACCCATGTCTATTAAACTGCCCAAAGGAATGTAAATTGCTGCCTTTTTATTTTCTTTGAGAAATAGTCTTCTATAAAATATAGGCACTCATTTTTATGAAATAGCAAAACAGGGGTCTTGTTGAGGAAGAGTTCGTTAGCATTTCCAGTATTTGCTAAGGTTCCTCCCATGCTCTTAGAAGGTGTGGTTCTGGCTAAGTTGTTGTCGTTTGGGATACTAGCATTTCTGTGTCTTGATGTCTCCTTGTGTATCCCCTTTTCTTTGTTCTCTCCCCATGACTCTCTGCTCATTCAGTTCCTCAGAAGCTCCTGACTTAAACCACAGATGAATCCATAGTAGAGGTCTTCATTAGACAAGAGTGACTGGGTAGAGCTACACATGGCCAATGTAAAACCGATCCCTTTTCTGATAGCAAAACCCTTTTATTTTCCACATCATGTTCTTGATTTTAAAGTATCATCTTAGGAAAATAGAAAACAAGCCCACCTTCCCCATCAAGTGGCCTATTAGTTGCAAAATACAAGAGATAGTGTTCCTTTCTACCTCTTTCCACAAGTCCTCAGGTGAGGGCCTCTTTGCCTGTTAGTTTCTAAGATAATGGGTCAAGTTCCTAAATTAAGTCTGAGAAGAGATGGATGGGACATTATAGTACATATACATTTCCCACCGTGTTTCCTGTCAATCAGGATATTCATAGCTCAGGAGGGCTCTTACGGTACCAGCCACATCTGCCTGTTTGCATCCTGCCTCCAACTCCTAGTTTTTCTAAAGCAAAGTTCTTACTAAGTAGGAGTCAAGGATCATCAAGCCTTTTCTCATTTACCCAGGCTGGAGTGCAGTGGTATGAACATGGCTCACTGCAGCCTCTACCTCCTAGGCTCAAGTGATGCTCCTACCTCAGCCACCCGTGTACCTGGGACCACAGTCTCGTGACACCACATCCAGCTAATTTTTAAATTTTTTTGTGAAGACGAGGTCTCACTTTGTTGGCCAGGCTGGTCTCAAACAATCATCCCAAAGCGCTGGATTTACAGCTGTGGGCTACTGTGCCCGGCCCAATAAGGAGCTATTTTGCAAGTGTACATCTCTTGAAACTGGAAATAAACTAGCTATCAAGTCAGGCACATTTAATTTGGATGCCTACACATGTCACTTTTAAGGAAAAAATTGTTCCATAGAGATTATGTTACCTGTGTGTTCTGATTAGCACAGAACAGTCCAACTTTGAGACCCTTTAAAATATTTGAGCATGTTTCATTTGAAAACTACATGTATTAGTAACAGGTTTCCTATCCCTGTATTTGAAAGATATGGCATAATCCACGCTGGTGGGGTAGGGAAATATCTCAGTGACTGGATCCTGCATGGAGAACCTCCTTTTGACCTAATAGAATTGGATCCCAATCGCTACGGCAAATGGACAACAACCCAGTACACTGAGGCCAAAGCAAGAGAATCATATGGATTCAACAATATTGGTAAGGTGCAAATTTATCCATTGTCTACAAAGTGTTGACAGAATTGAATTGTAACATCTCTGACTTTAGACAGTCTTTATTTTATTCACTGGGGTGGCAGTAGTTAGGGACTCCAAAAAGCATTGTGACCCTAAGACATAACAAGGAATAGATATGGATGTGCATATTTAACATGTGGAATGCCTCACTGGTTTTAAATTTTAAATATATTTTTACTTTACTCTTTGATAAGTCATATAAATGACAGCTCTGTTTTCTACATAAGTCATATATGTATGTGTGTTTATGCTTCTGGATTTTAAATACTGTATTTTCCATATTTGGAATCCCTTCAGAGTATCTTGTTGTTTTGGCTATATGCAATTTAAAGTACTGACTTTCCTTTTTCAGTTGGTTACCCTAAAGAAGAACGGTTTGCTGGGAGGCCGACTCAGCGAGTCAGTGGGCTGTACCAAAGCCTGGAGTCTAAGTGTTCCATGGGGTTCCATGCTGGCTGGGAGCAGCCACATTGGTTCTACAAACCAGGCCAGGACACTCAGTACAGGTAAGAGAAAAACTTGACCTGCCTGTGGTTCTGACCAGGGGATGAAACAACGGGACAGCAAAAAGCGCCGATTCCCCCCTCACACTCCATCCCTCCAGCCTGTTCCAAGGAGCACTGAGCCTTGTCCTATAAAAATTACTCTCTGGCAGTGGTGGCATTCGTCTAGCCCACATGACACTGGCCCACATCTAGGACTCACGTGGCCCTGGGAATCCTATAACGGGCCTGGGCGAAGCCTCTTGGCATTTACCAGAAGCTCAGAGGAGCCTTCTGACCCCCTCCAAATTCCCACATGGCTTCAGTTGGCTCCTAAAGGTTTGCTGTGCTTTAAGCTGCTTGGCTGAATTACATCGTGTAAAACAAAAAATGTACCTGGAGTTTTGGATTTTCTCTTCATCCCGAAATCATTCAAAGCAATTGCTTCCTAGAGTGTGTGCACTAAGCCATGCAAATTGTATGCACAGTTGATAAATGAGGGGAAAAGATCATTTGCATAGCATTCCAGGTTAAGCAAAAACATAAAGTATGCCACTAAAACAGTTCTCTGAATTCTGGTAACGTGCTACCTGCCATTGTTGTACTTGGGATTAATAGTGATTATATATTTTTTTCTCAAGAGAATCCACAGACCAAGGGAAAACAAGTTGCAAATTTACAAGTTAAATTATCCTTTTTTTTTTTTTTGAGCTGTCATTTTGCTTTCTACGATGGGTTTTGCTATTTTAAGGACTAGATCTAACTGGTACACAGTATAGCAGAGAACCCATTGTTGATGAATGAATTTGGGATCCATAGGCAGCCAATCTAGACTATTTGGTGGCCAGATACTGATTTGGTTTTTCCTAAATGACTCCAATATACCACTTCTATTCATCAGCTAGTGCTGATTGGATCTGATCTAAGTTTCTTCCACCATTTAATAATTAAACTACTGAAAATTCATTTTGCAGACTTAGCATCCTGCTCTGAAGCTGAAAGTGGACCATGTTAGAAGTCCACTTCATAAAGCAGAAAGGACCGTTAGTAATGAGTGAAGGGACCTTTGTTCGAGGTCTGGCTTTGTCATTAACTAATGCAAAGGCCCTGGAAATAATTTTGTGCCTTTTCTCTGAAAAATGCAGAATTTTGGCCCAGATCCTTATGTACTCCAGGTGTGGAGCAATGGCATAGGCATCTCCTGGGAGCCTGGGAGAATGCAGACTACAGGGTCCCGCCCCAGACCTGCTGCTTCAGAATGTGGACTTTAACAAGTGCAAATGACTTGTATTCCCATTAATATTTGAGAAGCACTGAACCAGGGAGCTCCACCCCCCGACCCCTCACCAACTCCACCCCAGACACTCTTATTTAATTAGGCCCATTTAAAAATGCTCTCCAGGTGATTCTAATATGTATGCATCTAGAATTGAAAACCACCAGACTGGCTGACTTCTAAACTCTCTTCCAGATCTGAGAGCCCACGAATTATATCTTATTTTCCAGTTAGTTAGTACTTTATTCACTGTGAAATGGGTCATAGGGCTAAATGAGTAACTTTAAAATCAGAGTCCAACATACATGTATGATTTGCAGAACAGAATTTCAGGCTGCATGGTCCCACCTCCCACAGTCCCACTACCCGCCGCCAATAGGATTTTCTACAGGTGTAAGGCTTATTAAAATATCAGTATTGTGTAATTTTTGAAAAATGAACGGCAGTTGTTTTATGACTCCAAATGTTGTGTTTCAGGCCAAGTTTTCACCGCACAAACTGGTTTGAGCCTGTGGGCTCTGAGTATAAACAGGTTATGCAAAGAGTAGGGGTGATTGACCTAACACCATTTGGCAAGTTTAACATCAAAGGCCGAGATTCCATTCGACTATTGGACCATCTCTTTGCAAATATCATTCCAAAGGTAAATAGCCTTGTAGGAATACAAGGTTCAGGATTCTGACCTATTTAATTCTCCATCCTCTCATTTTTCACCCACCAAACCCACGTTATTTTAGTTCAGCTAATGAGTTCTGAACACTGGAACTCTTCAACTGACCAAAATACACAAGCTAATTTTCTTTCTTTCTTTCCTTTCTTTCCTTCTCTTTCTTTCTCTTTCTTTCCTCCTTTTTCTTTTCTTTTTTT